ACGAATGGGACTTACGAGGCTTCTGAGAAGATGAGTTTTTGGCAATGTGTCTTGATAAAAACGGGTATTTTCTTAGATGTCTTTTTAAAAAATAGATTTCTGCCCTAGCTGGTTTGGCTCAATGGATAGAGTGTTGGCCTGCGGGCTGAAGGGTCCCAGATTTGGTTCTGGCCAAGGGCACATGCCTGGGTTGTGGGCTCGATCCTGAGTAGAGGGCGTGCAGAAGGCAGCCACACAATTATTCTATCTCATCATTGATGTTTTCTTCTCTCTCTCCCTCTTCCTTCCTCTCTAAAATCAATAGAATACATGTTTTTTTAGATTTCTGCCTTAGCCTGTTGCTCTGTGGCTAGTGTCAGCCCAAGTGACTTGAAGGGTATCGAGTTGGATTCCAGTCAAGGGCACATACCTCTACTGCAGGCTCTATCACTAGCCCCTGATCAGGGCACATGCAGGAGGCAGCTGATGTATCTCTTTCACACAGATGTTTCTGTCTCTCCTTTCCACTCGCTCAAAAAAAAAAAAAAAAAAAAAAAAAAAATCAATGAAAAAAATATACTTGGATGAGATTAACAAAAAAAAATTGTTTAATTTTTTGTTTCTTTTTAAATAATTTTTATTGATTTCAGAGAGGAAAGGAGAGTGAGAGAAAAAGAAACAAAAATGATGACAGAATCATTGATCAGCTGCTTCCTGCATGTCCCCTACTGGGGATTCTGCAACCTGGGCATGTGCCCTTGATGGGAATTGAACCTGGGACCCTTCAGTCCACAGGCTGTCCAAATGAGCAAACATTCTAGGGCCAATCTTTTGTTTCTTACATGCATGCAGTAAAACTAAATATGGTTGCTTGCCTGCAGTTTAAAGGTTTAGAAACAAATATGATGAATAAGAGCTGTTTTCTGTCTCTAAATTCATTATCAGAGCATAGTACTTACTCCTATTTATATGAGTAATATTGAACATCTGTTTTAGTGTCAGGAGTCAGTTGTGTGAAGCAGATACATCTGAAAGTTTCAGAGCATAAAATATCTAAATGAGTATACATATTTTATAGCTGTTTTTGCATAATTAAAAATGGTATATTTGGGGCAAATAGAGCTACTTAGCTCCTTAGGCTAATTTCTGTGTCCAACTATTTGCAGAAGTGCAGGTTTGTGATATCAGCTAAAATCAAAACACAAGATTCTGTGAGCAAATTCTTAGAAAATATACTCTGATAAATGCACAGGAAGTGCATGACAATCAGAACAATTCTTTTTAAGATTAGGAAGGTTTACTGAAATACTTGTAGCTTTATTATAATACCAATCATAATTAATGTGTTTATTAAGACCTCATAACAACATAAATAACATAATTAACAAATATTTATGTTTTAATAGGAGCATAGTATTTTTTTAATATGTTTTTATTGATTTTAGAGTAGAGAGAGAGGAACATTGATGAAAACAGAACCACCATTTTGCTGTCTCCTCCACCCCCCCCTACTGGGAATTGAACCTGTAACAAACTCTCAGTGCATGGCACAACACTGAACCAACTGAACCACACTCGTCAGGGTTCACGGGAGCAAAAGTTTAAATGCTTTTGCTAAATGTTGTTTTTCTTTTTACAATTAGTTCATTTTTAAATATATTATTATTATTATTATTATTTATTATTATACAGAGGAAGGAAGAGGAATAGAAAGTTAGAAACATTGATTAGTTGCCTCCTGCACACTCCTCACTGGGTATGTGCCCACAACCAAGGTACATGCCTCCCCCCTCCCCCCGCCACCACCACCAGAATCGAACCTGGAACCCTAGAGTCCACAGGCTGATGTTCTATCCACTGAGCCAAACTGGTTAGGACCAGTTAGTTCATTTAACATAAAGTAAGTTAGGTAATAAACTATATTTAGTTTCTTTAACATGAAGCTTTTAGCCTCAGTGAAAATTCTGCACTGCTCATTGGTTTCTCTAAATGAGAATGAGAAACCAATGTTGCAGAGTTTTTTAATTATTTTAGTAATGGACATTCAATAGTCAGATATTTTGTATTACATATGTTTGTTATATAAGTAAAAATAATGACCCAGGATAAAGGCAAGCTTACTTCGTGTCACAAACTTATTTTTATTTACTTTTGTACAAAGTAATTACTTTGGGACTTTTGACAGCATATAGATTTGAAAATGGATGTGGAGTTATCATTATCCTTATACAGCATAATGTATCATGTATTCTTTTGATGGAACTTTGTTTTTATGGTTTTACAGATCCAGGGATGTGCAATAAAGCATTTTTATATTTATAAGGAAGGTGCTTTTACTTTTACAAAGTATTGTCTACCTTTATTATGAGACTAGAGGCCCATAAAATAAAATTCCTGCTCTCAGGGGGGTCCCTCAGCTCGGCCTGCACCTTCTCTCAGTCTGGGAGCCCTTAGGGGATGTCCGACTGACTGGGGAGGGGGGAACAAGGAGGTGAGGAGCAGGCCTAAGCTCAGTCAGACATCCTTAGCGCTGCTGTGGAGGCGGGAGAGACTCCTGCCACGGCGCTGTGCTTACCGGCCAGCCGTGAGCCTGGCTTCTGGCTGAGTGGCACTCCCCCCTGTGGGAGTGCACCGACCACCAGGAGGCAGCTTCTGCGTTGAGCGTCTGCCCCTTGGTGGTCAGTATGCATCATATCAACAAGTCTTACTGCTGTTCAGTTGATTTGCATATTAGTCTTTTATTATATAGGATAGGATAGTTTTTCTGTTGGGTTCCTTTGTTTGAGGGCCTCTTTCAAGTGTCTGTGATTTAAGTACTGAGGTTGTGTAGGTTTTGCTGCTATTTTTGCCTTGTGATTCTCACAGTGACAGGCTTATATCAGGTTTTCTGTCCAATAGATTTCATACAGATGAGGCTAGACAATTCTGTGGAACTACTCAGATAGACCTGAAACTTTATTAAAATACATATCTACCCATCACATCCTGGCTCCCACTTTCTACTCAGTAAACTACTTTGGTGTACTCTGTAAACTATTTCTGAGTCATCTAAAAATTAAAGTAGCAGAAAATAAAATTTATCTTTCATTTTACCTTCTTGGTGGGATCAGTAGGAGGTGGATTGTGATTATCTAATACATTTGAGACACTTTTTGGCGAATAATCCTCGACCTGCATTTATCTGTATTTTTTGTAAGATGCAGTAAAAAGTCTTAGCAGATTGTGTTTCTCACATTTGAATTAAACCTGCTACTAAATAATTTTCCTTCTCTGCTATGTACACCCTTTTAGAACTCAACTGGTTTGCATTTCACCAGGATAAGTTAGAGGGCCAAAAAGTACAGTGAGTCGAAGTATTGAGTGTTTTAAGAGAAAAACAGCTGGCCAGTAGCATGGTGTGCCACTGTGAAGGTGAGAGGATGAGAACTGATGTGTGCTGCCTGGAAATAAAGTGCTAGATGGGCTGAAGAGAGCATGGTTTAATTCAAGTGTGGAACTACATATGCCTGTGCCTTGCAACATTAATTGGTCCTGTCTGGCATTACATTGGCCAGAAATATTAATTGGCCAGAAACAGTCTGGTATGGGATGTAGATTGGCCAGGCTGGAGTAATTTTGTTTTATTTCTGTAATGAATAGCCCAAATTTAATTTGGCCCTAGACCAATGAGGGTGTGGTTAATTTCATGGATTCCTTAGAACCATTTTGGCAGTAATTTCTTTTAAATTAGTGTTCTTGCTACAATTAAATATAGAACATTGAATTTTGACATACACCCTCTCCTTCCCACCTGCTCTGTCATTTATGTCCCACCCACTCTTAGCCAATACTTTAGTCTTTTTACCTATTCTCCCATCTATCAAACTGGTTCTTAGGTATGGCACTGATGAGGGTAGATGGGTTCTGTACGTCAGGGTGAGGTCAGTGACTGTGGGCCAGGTAAGTAAGAGAGCAGAGAAGTGGCACGGGACTTGTTCTAGCACTTCTGCTCTGTACATTCTCCAAGGAGCTGTGCTGCCACTTAGGGCGAAACAGGATGGACTCCAGTCCTCTGTTTTTCTTCTCCTGGATGGAAAGTGGAGTAGGGTTTTGTAGTTCTGTTCCTGTGGTTGAAGTGTCTCACCTGTTCCAATCCTAGTTCCTCCAAAGAGTGAAGCACTGGTTCTGCCCCCTTTGTTACCCCTTTCTAAATTGGCTCCTGTGTGAATTTCAGAGCAGGGCACTCAACAGTTCCTTGAATGAAGTCCCAAGAGGGGTTTTCTCGTGCAGCTGGTAGTTTAGTTGTCCTTCTCTCACCACAAAGCAGTCTTTTCCCTCTGTGCCATTTCTCAGAAGTTCCTACTTACTGGCTTCGTAAGTGCAGGGGTTGTGAGATTCAAGCTACTGTTGCCATTTGGTTTTCCCTAGTATCTTACATCTTAAGGTATCTCTCTTTTGTGGCACCCTTGAACTCTTTTTTATTTAAAAAAATATATATTTTTATTGATTTCAGAGAGGAAGAGAGAGGGGGAGAGAGATAGAAGCATCAGTGATGAGAGAGAATCATGCATTTGCTGTCTCCTGCACACTCCCTACTTGGGATCAAGCCCGCAACCCAGGCATATGTCCTTGACCGGAATCGAACCTGGGACCCCCCTCATCCTCACCCCCCATTCCACAGGCCAACGTTTTATCTGCTAATCCAACCAGCTAAATAAACTCTTTTTAAATCCTGTCGTTATTGTCCCGTGAAACACTTAATACTGTTTTTCTAGGTAATTTTTAAATCATCCTTTGGAAAAGGCATACCACGTAGAAAAGAACTCCTAACTTGTCGCTGGAAGTTTTGGCTTGAGCCATCTAATGTCTCCATTTGCTCTTATAGTTCTAAATTAGCTTAGGGGAATTTTAGAATGCAAGAATTAGCTAGTAGGCAAACTTCTAACTATAATTTGATAAGAATCAAAGGGGAATGACCAGATAATTTTTAACACATACATCTTTTGTAAATTTTGGTTTTGATGTTAGCCTTTTATTCTCAGTTGCTTTAGGTCGCAACCAGCCTTTGAAAAAGGAGAAACCCAAATGGAAAAGCGATTACCCCATGACAGATGGACAGCTGCGCAGCAAAAGGGATGAATTTTGGGATACTGCACCAGCTTTTGAAGGCCGTAAAGAGATTTGGGATGCCTTGAAGGCTGCAGCGCATGCTTTTGAGAGCAATGATCATGAACTGGCACAAGCAATCATCGATGGTGCAAACATAACGTTACCACATGGTAGGTGGTCCTCAAGGACAACAGGACCCAGTGGGCTCCTGTCTACTAATAACAAACCAAACGGGAAGTATTCATTTACCTGCAATGCATTATTCTACCTTTTTTCCCCTAAAGGGAGCATTTCTCTTTGCTTCTTTGTATATGTTTAACTAGAGATAGGTTTACTTGATATGTCTATATTCTAATTTGAAAATACTTTTAATCTCAAGAAATATAATTGTTGTTCCCTTATTAACTTGTATTTTCTAGCTTTCATACAACCTAGTTCTTTATCAAGGTCCCACTTTCTTAGAGCTTCTACTTCACTGGTTTTCACCTGCACAAAGTGGTAGTCTCCGATGTAGATCTCAGAAGTCATAGGGACTCTGTGGATGCTCCTTTAGTCCTTATACCTTCTCATCAAGACTATTTTTAGCATATACTTAAAAGTGATCCTAAGGACAGTGTCTGTGATTGCAGCTCTGAGCATTATTAAAAACCTTTGCTTAGGAATGTGAAAGCCATTTTTTGTTTTTGTGCATGTGTGTGTTTTTTAATACGTTTTTATTGATTTTTAGAGAGGGGAAGAGAGAGGGTTAGAGAGAGAGAAATTTTGGATAAGAGAGGAACATTATCTATCAGCTGCCTCCTGTACACACCCCTGCTGGAGATTGAGCCTGCAACACGGGCATGTACCTTGACCTGGAATTGAACTGGTGACCTCTTGGTTTCCGGGTTGATGCTCAACTGCTGAGCCACACCAATCGGACATAGAATTTGAAAGCTTTGAATATTTTTCAGACACACACATATACTGGACCCATGCACATCCTTTTGCTCGGTCTCCTTGATTAGATGCAAAAATGCTTATGCTATATAAGATTTAGCTGTAGATTTTTATTTCTATATTTATAAATTTATTTTTCCCTTCAGTTTTTCAAGTTAATATTTTTCTAAGTTCCTTTAGCCATACATACACACACACACACACACACACACACACACACACACACACATGTATATACATATATATGCGCCCAATGCACTAAATTCATGCAAAAGTAGGCCTTCCTTCCCTGGCTGCCAGCACCAGTTCCCCTCTGACATCCAGGACCCAGGCTTCTCTTGCAGCCCCAGCTTCATCCAGAAGGTCATCTGGAAGGACGTCCAGTCTAGCATATTATGCTTTTATTAATATGCTAATTAGACCTGACAGCCAACAACCTTCCGGATGGAGCCGAGGCGGCGGGGGTTGTGGCAGAGGTGGTTAGGGGTGGTCAGGCAGGCAGGCAGGCAGGCGAGCAGTTAGGAGCCAGTGGTCCCAGATTAGGAGAGGGATGTCCAACGGCCAATTTAGGCCTGATCCCTTTGTGCCTAAACTAGCAGTTGGACATCTCCCAAGGGGTCCTGAATTGCTAGCGGGTGCAGGCCAGGCTGAGGCCTTCCCCATCATACACCCCATGCACAGATTTAATGCATTGGACTTCTAGTAGATACTAAAAGTCTAAGTGACCATCATGGTGGAACAACCGCACTGGTCGCTGTGATGCTCACTGATCGCCATAGGGCAGACACTCAACACAGAAGCTGCCCCCTGGTGGTCAGTGCATTCCCACAGGGTGAGCACTGCTCAGCTAGAGCTAAGGAGCAGCAAGCAGGTAGGTGGTAAGGAGCAAGGGATCCTGGACTGCAGCCGAACATCCCCCGAGGGCTCCTGGACCAGAAGAAGGCACAGGTCAGGCTGAGGGACACCCCCCCCAATACCCCCTTCCAGTGCACCGGGCCTCTAATGTATATATTTTCAGCTGTTGTAAGCAGTGTTTCCTATTTTTATTATACTTTCATTGTTCCTTTTTCATTGTCTTCCTTTGTTTATATTTTCAGAGGTACAGGGCCTTTTAATCATCCACTTTATGTTCTTTGACTCTTTTTAAAATAAAAGGTATTTAACTATCTTTCCCAATTTTCTGAATGAACTCCGCTTCCAATAAGCTTTTTGCCCTGACTGGTGTGGGTCAGTTGGTTGGGTCCCATGCATCGAAACATTGCTTGTCCAACTTTACAGATTATTTTTATTGATAATTTATGATCCTGGATATTTAATTTGGAGAGAGGATAACCATAAAATGAAATCATATTTGACTTTATGATCTGGATTTTCCCCTTTAGTTTTACTTTAATGAGATGAGGCACGTGAAAATGCTTCACAAACATTTGATGAAACTGTAAAATGTTTGCAGCTGACTATAAAGCAAGTTGGGTTTCTGGACTTAAGAAAATCCAAGGAGGATAATCTTTAAGGAGAGGAAGCTGGGCGTTGCTATGTGATGTCATTACCCAGTGCCCACTTCAGTCGTTTCCTGGCTGGGCAGTGGCTACATTTTGTGCCATGGGGTCTTGGCAGCATTGGCTACGATTTGGTGGGGTGTTGCTCCAGGGTGGTGGTGGGGCTTGTGTCCCAGCTGGGGGAAGCCGAGTGTTGGTTTGTGAGTGCCAGGTCCATGGTGCCATTTATTTTTAAATGGTCTGTGTGTGTCACAGCAGTTCCTGCATTGAGCATCTGCCCCTGGTGTTCAGTGCATGTCATGGCAGCTCCTGCATTAAGCATCTGCCCCTTGATGGTCAGTGCATGTCATAGCTACCAGTTGAACAAATGGACACTTCACCTTTTATTTATATAGGTTGTTACTGTAATGTGATAGTTACTAGTTACTAGTGTGGGGAACTGCTAGTGATCACAACTGTGCTTGGAGTATATCCATTTCTACGGTGTAATAGCAGTATTCAGATTCATTAGTGAACAGCACAGGCTGAATAATGTTGTTAAAAAAGAAGAAAGGGGACAAACATGTATGTTATTCATGGTGACTTAACTCCCCTCTTACTTTCTCACCCCTGCTCATCCTATCCTATCTAATAAAAGAGTAATATGCAAATTGATCATCACTCCAACACACAAGATGGCCGCCCCCATGTGGACAAAAGATGGCTGCCACAAGATGGCCAGCAGGGGAGGGCAGTTGGGAGGGACCAGGCTTGCAGAGGAGGGCAGTTGAGGGGGACCAGGTGTTGGTGTCCCTCGTTAGGGCATCATAATGCCAGGGTTCTTTTCCCAGCCTTACAAAGGGTTCCGCATTCTGGAGAAAGGGGCTGCGCATAGATGATTAAGACGGAGTCCCAAAGACGAAAGATATTTTTGAAAGGCATTAGGGGTCAGAGGAGCTTCAGCTGAAGGAGCTAGAAGACCCTTCCTGGACCACGTACATACGGTGCTTTTATTCACACAGTTTATCCTAAGGCAAGGTGGAGATAATACACTTCAAAAGGCAAGTTATCAAAGGGAGAACACAGAAGCATTATCAGTTTGGGGAATCGCCTACAGCTGTTCAGATATTTGACCTACAGGAGTCAATAAAATGCCCTGCGCTGTCTGGAAGTTAACAGTTGTCCTATTCAGTTTTGGGGGAAGTGCCATTTAGCCATTTCCAACAGGTAAATTACATATGTGGCTCATCCTTCTTGAGCCACCCAAGTCCCATCAACCTTTTGACAGAACTCTTGTAATTATTACATGTTGGAATTGGTTCTCGGCACCAGGTCTGCAGGAGAGGGCAGTTGGGGGTGACCAGGCCTGCAGAGGAGGGCAGTTAGGGGTGACCAGGCCTGCAGGGGAGAGCAGTTAGGGGCAGTCAGGCTGGCAGGAGAGCAGTTAGGCATCAATCAGGCTGGCAAGGGAGTGGTTAGGGGATGATGAGGCTGGCAGCCAAAAGCGGTTAGGCAATTAGGAAGGCAGGCAGGTGAGCAGTTAGGAGCCAGTAGTCCTGGATTGTGAAAGGAGCAGCAATTGTGGGGTCCCAGATTAGAGCAGGTGCAGGCTGGGCTGAGGGACACAACCCACTCCCCTCAGGCATGAATTTTGTGCACTGGGCCTCTAGTTTTATATAACTAGACAGACCTGATCGAACCCATGGCGGGTTGGTGACTGTTGAGGTCTCATTTCTAATGCTTTGTATTTTCAGTCTGTTGATAGTGACCATAAAGATCAGCTTATTAACTCATTTGTTCATTGATAACCATTTCTCAGTGTTCCACTCCCCATATTTATTAGCTTGTATTTAAGTGTTTTGAGTATGGTAGATGTTTTTTACCCAAATTGAAAATCAGCTAACATTAATGTTTCAGTTTGTGTAAAGGACACATTATGAGTAACCTTACAATAAAACATTTATTAAGCATGCTTTCAAGCTTCCCCTAAGGAGAAGTCCTAATCATTATAAAGCACTTCATGCTTTATTAAAAAATTAGTCATTAGTACTTTCTTAAACCATAAATGTCTTTTTCCTTCTTCTGAGTGCTAGCTGGTTATAAATTTAATGCCCCTTTCGTTCTCCCTCTTTAACCCATAGCTTCTCTGTAACATTGACTGATTGGGGTTAATAAACACCTCCGTCACCCTGTGGTAATTGTGCTGAGGTTGATATAGAAGCCATGAGCCACTGGCATCTTGAGTGTGTGGTCTTCTTGTAAGGGCTCTGGCCAAATACTTTGATTTAGAGAGTCTAGGCCAGTGGTTAACAAACTGCGACTTGAGAGCCACATGTGGCTCTTTGGCCCCTTGAGTGTGGCTCTTCTACAAAATACGTGCAGGCGCGCATGTACAGTGAGATTGATACTTCGTGGCCCATGAGCAAAAGTCTGTTTTCATCTCTCCAAAGAAATTTCAGTCATTGTACTGTTGATATTTGGCTCTGTTGATTAATGAGTTTGCCAACCACTGGTGTAGGCAATAAGAAAACCACTCTAGAATACTGCTGTGTTGCAGTGAATTAGGTTTAGATATCTATTTTTGCTTTTTTTTTTTTTTTTTTTTAAGGCAGTTGCTTCTTTCTTGAAAAGATATCCCAGTGCAATTTGAATCTCACTTTAATTTGGTCTAAGCATTAGTGATGTTAGTAAATTTGAATTGTGTGTGCTCTCTTTTCCTTTATTCTTTAATGAATGTGTGAATTAGGTATGAAATGACTTAAAAGAGAATGAGGGTCAGGAGCTCGAGCCCTGGTTGATGTAAAATAAGATAGACATTCAAATAACTGGTGATGGGACATTATTATTGATGGTCAGTTGACAGTGACTGACATTATTTTAATGTTTTTCCCTATAATGGCAAGAGATGCTAGAGCATTTGTTTAGATTAAACTCTTACATCTTCTTCCTGAAGGTTCACTTACAGAGTGCTACGATGAACTGGGAAACAGATACCAGCTTCCAGTCTATTGCCTGGCACCACCTATCAACATGATAGAGGAAAAGAGCGACATAGAGACTCTGGATATTCCTGAGCCACCTCCTAATTCTGGATATGAATGTCAGCTCCGTTTGCGCCTTTCCACTGGCAAAGACCTCAAGCTTGTAGTGCGCAGCACAGACACAGTGTACCACATGAAGAGGCGGCTCCTCGCAGCAGAGGGGGTGGAGCCCAGCAGTCAGCGGTGGTTCTTTTCCGGCAGACCTCTCACCGACAAGATGAAGTTGGAAGAGCTGAAGATCCCAAAGGACTATGTCGTACAGGTTATAATGAGCCAACCTTTGCAAAGCCCAGCACCAGTTGAGAACTGATCTGTCCTATTGGCTGGTCCCCAGGTCCCTCCCGCTCCTTTGTATTGTTTCCTACTCCATGGCGTGAAATTTATTTTCACTGCTCTGAATTCCGTATAATGGATTTCGTTCTGAGGAATTACCAGTGAAAATTCCATCTGTGATGGAGACCAACAAAAATAATTAATAAAACACAAAGAGCTAGCATTTGAAACACATGTAATTACAATTTCTAATTTGAGGGGCAGTTAGAAATAGATAACCATTTATTTTAAAACACTCAGCAATTATATAATGGCTGTATTTAAATGATTTGGACTGTACATAGAACATTGCATCAATGAACAGCACCAAGCACCTTGTGAATACAGAGTTTTTATAAAAATAAACTATAACTTCCAGAAATCATCAACAATGATAAAACTTGAGCTTCTTAGCATGGAAACTGGAAAGAGCAGATTTGAGGTTCTCTTCTATTCTGATCTTAATTCTTTGCTTAATAGAGACTGGCAAATTGTGTCTAAGTATTGCTTTCCTCATCCCCATATGTTCAGCTTTTTATTACATTCACACTAAATTTTGGTGCCTTCCAGCACATTGGTGGCAGGCGCCCTCCGGAACACTAGGCAATAATTTAGTCAGTGCAATCAGATCTCTGACTTTCAACTGATACTCAGTTGAAAAGTCTCTTGTTCTCTTGCTACATAGGTATTTTTAAATGTATTTATAACAAAGTGGTTTTCATATCCAGGCTTAGAAGATCACCACTATATAATACCTTAAATTGTTCTCTCTCCTCTGCTTGGAACTTTTCAGAACTGTGTCCCCAAATGCATGGATACTGGGCCAGGGAACTCAGGGAATCAGTACAGCTGTTCCCACTGTAGGATAATAGTCATTCTCTTTCTCCCCCAGTTGCAGGAAGGGTATAAGGAAGCCCATTCTTTGTGTGCCTGGGAGAATTGTGCCTATTTTCCAGTCTTTTGGAGAAAATTTCAACGTATAAATTACTAATACGAAAGACTTACTGATGTCACTTTAACATCAGCAGTGAGACCAAACGATGAAACGTTGCTCTATACTTTAGTGCTTTCCTGTTCACTGTTACCTTAGTTATACTGGATGAGCATTTTCCTCTCTCCTCTCACCTAGCAGAGGCAAATTGAGAACCATCCGCAGACTCGATTATAGAGGACTGAAAAATCCAGTGAGATAACGTGATTCTTTTCTACTGTGACTGAATAAAGCTGCCAAGGATTGTATTTAACTTGGAGCCTTTTCAAGGTGGTTCCATTAGTGAGAGAAGGGGCCGCCACATGATCACTGAACCCCTGAGAATCCATGAGATGGAAAATTAGAGGAAGAAGGCACTTACGCTGTTTGCAGCAGGGAAACAAACCTCCACACCTATTTGGATGTGAAGCACATTATTCATTTCAGTGGCAAAATGAGACTGCTCCTTAGTCTAAAGGTAATGTTCAAAATGGCATTAAACTTCCTACAGCCTGCTAGATCCTATATAATAAAAGCTTAATATGCTAAGCATCCAGTTGACTGGTCAGCCATTCAACCAAAGCATAATATGCTAATGATATGCTAAGGCCACTCAACTACTCGCTATGACATGCACTGACCACCAGGAGGCAGACAGCCAACCAGTCACTATGATGTGCATTTACCACCAGGGGATAGACACTTTGGTAGGTTAGCTTGCTGCTGGGGTCCAGCTGATTGGGACTGAGCAAGACAGGCCGGACACGCCCTGAAGCTCTCCTGCATCCCTCCCCGGCCCAGATCGGGCACCGGTGGGGTACTTTGACCTGGCCTGCACCCACTCCCAATTGGGGACCCCTCGGGGGATATTGGAGAGCTGGTTTCAGCCCGACCCTGCAGGCCAGGCTGAGGAACCCCACTGGTGAATGAATTTGTGCACCAGGCCTCTAATATATCATTGTGACACCTATTTCTGAGAGCTTTAACTTCTACTTTTTTTAATGAAATTGTTTGATTCATTGTGGCTACATTTAATTTGAGTTTGTTGATAATTGACTATAAATCCAACAGGATACAGCAGCATTAATTCCAAAGGAGTCTTTATATATGGAGTTGGAGGTATGTGAAGGCTTTCGGTACACTGCCCCATCATCAAATAGTTTTCGTTCATTTGTTTGCCACATTGGATTAGCAACATCTCTCAAAGTCTGTCAATTGGGAAAAAAGTGTTCAAACCTACTTTTAAGTAAATTTGGTGATATTAATAGTCTATGGTTGGTGGAAGGTCTTTTTTTGTTTGTAGAAGATTTAAGCTCTCAAAAGTTTATTTTAAAGGAACATATACTTTGAATAACAAATACTGGGCATGTTTAACTAACCTAGGTGAGAAAACTATGGTGCTGTTTAATTGTAAATATATTGATATAAGATTGGACCAATACTTGATGTGTACAATTTTAGTATGTAGGATTTTGTGCTTTTTTAAAAAAAAAAAAAAGTTCAAATTTTCTCGTCTTTGCCTTTTTTGTGTGTTTTTTTATTGTTACTTTCTGCAATAAGGGTAATTTGCCTCATTCTAATAAAACCTCTAAAAAGCTTTTTCTCTTTTTTAAAACTTCAACTCAATAAATAACTTTATTATCATCAGACTTAGAATCTGCTGTGCCAAACCATATGTGGTCATTATAGGTATGCTTTATCTTCAGCATTGAAATCTTGATCTAAAATAGATTGTTTTAAGAAGCGTGTTGTAAATCAAAACTTCTAATTCAGTTTTTCAGAAGCACTGTGCTCGTTTCTTACCCATTTTTTTAAACAAATTGGCAGGTTTTGACAAATTTTTATGTAAAGCTAGTGGCACAAAGTCAATGTGGATTCGTGCACATTGAAAGGAAGTTAATTAGAACTACTTTAATATCGCTATTTGCCCTTTCTCTACAATAGAAGTGTCAGAGATAAAAGAAAATTAGTAAAATGTATATGAAAGTAATATATAAATTGATTTAATAAACAATAAAAGCAATAAAGATGATATAAAAACAAAAACATAAAAACACTGATAAAAACAATGGTAAATTGATTAAACTTATTCTAGTATCTCCCTGTATACTACATTGAGTAAAAACACTCAAGCCGAAACCGGTATGGCTCAGTGATAGAGTGTTGGCCTGTGGACTGAGGGGTCCCGGGTTCGATTCCGGTCAGGGCACATCCCCAGTTGGGAGTTGTGCAAGAGGCAGCTGATCGATGATTCTCTCTCATCGATGTTCCTCTCTGTCCCTCTTCCTCTCTGTAAAAAAATCAATAAAATATATTTTAAAATAAAAACACTCAATACATTCTGTCCACACCGGTTTCTTTTGGCTTCAGTGGTACATTGTGCCAATAGTTGGTCTGTCGGCTTTCAGCTTCATAACGTCATCAAAAACGACCAAATTCATTATCAACAATGACAGACCAAACCATGAGCAATTGGTGCCAGCAAGAGCTCTCTATGTAATTGAAATTTCTTTTGAGAGCCAAAATTTTTAAACTTAACCTCCTAACGCCACTTCTTCAAAATAGACTCACCCAGGCTGTGGTATTTTGTGTAAGAGCCACACTCAAGGGGCCAAAGAGTCGCATGTGGCTCGCAGTTTGCCCACCACGGCTAGCACTGTGGTTCTCAAACTTGAGCATGCATTAGAATTACCTGGAAGGCTATTAAAACACAAATTGCTTGATTCTCCCCCGGACGCTCAAGTTAGTAGGTCTGAATGGGGCCCAATAATTTATATTTTTCTTAAGTTCCCAGTTGCTGCTGCTGGTGGTCTTAGGTATGAGTATATTCATCCACCTTACATTGTTTTCTTCCATAAATGAATGTATGACTCTATACTTTTGATTTTTTTTTTTAATGGGGACTAGTAGGTTGTCCATACAAGTAGAATTAGATTTGCTCCGTTCCTCTTACAGCTGCAATAGGATTCCATTGTGGGGTACCACGGTGATTTCAGACACGTGGTTCTGGTGAGGTTGGCTGTTTCCAGTTGTTTGCCACTGTGAACTGTCTGCCATGAAAGTCCTTTCCCACATGTTTGTGACTGACTGTACATCTTACTCCTGAAGAGGCTGAATTGCTAGATCAACAAGTATACAAACAAAGGAAGTAGATGCTGACTTGCCCCCAAATAGATTTGGCCAATTTAATACGATAGCAGTATGACTGCTCTTATTTCCTTGACTGATCTTTTGGTCTTGGACAATCTAAGTGAAAATCTATGTCCTCTAAGTTTTTAATTTGTGTTTTTTCCTTGGGTAAAGGTTAGCATTTTACTGTAAATTTTAAGACCATTGGTATTTTTTTCTGGCGAATTCTCTTTATGTTTGCCCATTTCCTGGTTTGCAAGAATCTTTATATTAATGAAAATTAGTAATTTTCTATTAAATTGTTTTTTTTATTTTTATGTAATTTATGTGCAAATATTAAGTTTTTCATGGTCAGATCTATTAGTCTTATGTTTTATGACTTCTGGGTTTTCATAACTCTGAGACTAAACAGTTTTATTCCCATGTATTTATTTTATGGTTTTATGCTGGTGCAAGGAAGGAAGTGGCAACCCAGGATTCCTTTTTTCCAGCTGTCTTCCCTGCTTTTCCTGACACTACTTACTGAATAATGTTCATCTCTTTTTCTCATTGACGTTAAAACAAATCAGTCTTTATGCCAATTATTAAGACTACTATTTCAGTAGTCTTTTCTTGTTAATTAGCAAATTAGTAAAATTAGTAATAGGACACATTAGTAAATAACACCTGTGTCCACCTCCAACTCTCAGATGCTGTGGGTATTTTTACTTATGGGAAAAGAGAAGGGAAGAACCTGGCTGTAGCCAGTCTCCCGTGATTTCTGTCCCTGGCTCCATCCGAGCTGTTCACAGTGGTGACTGCCCATCTCACGGCCGTCAGCATACTAGTTGATTTGGCCTTTTCTAGTCTTCATTTTTGCATTAGCCTCCAGATAATACGGGAGGACTGAGGACTAACAGGAGAGAAGTGATTTCACTTGGCTTAGTTAGCTACCTCTAAAATGCTTTCCTTTTTGTGGCTGGTCCTGGCTGGAACTGTAGTCACCTCCTCAGTCAGGCCTGCCATTCACCTACCCTGCAACTGCTGCCCCTGGCCACCCACTGCTCAGGTCCCTGAGCAAACTTTCTTTGCCGACCAAGGAATTCTAATGTAACTGTGACATAGTCATAATACTGTTACTACCATCCAACGCGTGTGAAGGTACTTGGTCTGATAAGCTCTATCCTTAAAAGCACAGTGAGTTGACCCAATGTGAAAATAATGAAACTTTTTAAGTATACCTACAAATACATTAAAAATTTTTAATTTTTTTTTTATAGATTGATACTCCGTGATTGAGTGTTGCTGGCTCAATCCCCAGTGTGGGATGTGCAGGAGGCAGCTGATCTATGATTCTCATCGATGTTTCTATCTCTTCCTTTCTGAAATTAATAAAAATATCCCTGCCCCTTCCTTTCTGAAATTAATAAAAATATCCTATTTAATAAAAGCCTAATATGCTAAATGGTCGTCCAGTCAAAGCATAATATGCTAATGATATGCTAAGGATGCTCAACTACTCGCTTAGGGGGCAGACACTGACCAGTAGATTAGCTTGCTGCTGCGGTCTGGCCAATAGGGATTGAACCAGACTGGCCGGACACACCCCAGAGCCTTCCCTCAGTCCCTCCCTGGCTGGCCAGCCTCCCACGTCCCTCTCTGACCCCAATCGTGCATCGATGGGGTCCCTCCAGCTAGTCTGCACTCTCTCACAATCCAGGACCCCTTGGGGGATGTCAGAGCCAGTTTCGGCCAGATGCTGGAATGACCAGTCGCTGTGACACACACTGACCACCAGAGGGCAGGTGCTCAACACAGGAGCTGTCCTCTGGTGGTCAGTGCACTCCCACAGGGGGAGCACAGCTCAGCCAGGAGCCAGGCTCACGGCAGGCCAGTGGGAGCCTCTCCTGCCTCTGAGGCAGCGCTGAGGATGTCTGACTGCCAGCTTAGGCAAGTTCCCAACAGGGAGCGGGCCTCACCCGTCATTTAGCCATCCCCCAAGGGCTCCCGGACTGCGAGAGGGTGCAGGCTGGGCTGAGGAACCTCCTCCCCCGAGTGCAAGAATTTCATGCACCAGGCCTCTAGTATTTTAAAAAGAGAAACGTCCACAATAAGCCTGCAACCCAGGCATGTGCCCCCACTGGGAATGGAGTTGTGACCTGGTTCAGCTGATACTCAACTACTGAGCCACACCAGCAGGGCTACCTGAGCAGATGTGATCTATTTGTTTAAGCACCTGACTCAGAGAGTAAATTAGATTCTAGGAAGAACACAACCCCAGGATCCTTAAAAGTCACTTCCCTTGCGGTTGGAGGCACGTCACCATTCGCCATTTTGAAGTATTGCATCCAGGTAGTTTTGGCCTAAGGATTGGGAGACCCGACAGGATCAACCACGAGGGCCTAATACTGGGGAGGCACTGCCTGCTTTCAACTGCTTATCCCCAGGAAGTGTGGGCAATTGTTTGGATCCACAGGGACCGAATGAACAGGCTGATGTGAAAAGCAGCAGCAGAACTGGGACATGTGGATGGACAGAGAGAGTGGTTGCTTCACATGACATCCTTGTATCGTATGGGAGGTCCACAGGTTACCTATCAAAGTGATGAACTTACTGTCTAGAGGACACTCCTTTGGACCCTTCACATATCAAAAGGAATGTGGAGATATACTTGGGTGTTCACATTTATTTTTAAACATGCTTACAGTGATAATTCCTTATATTGTATTTTCAGATGAATTTCTTTCAAGGAAATCCTCTCTTGCCTCCCCACTAACATTATGCGGTAGATTCCGAGAGCAGAGACTTCTTTTCCTCATTCTCATTCTCTTCTTTCTGCTTCTCCTGGTACTTGTCCATGGTGGAGATGGTAAACAGCTTAAATTCCTTGTAATTCAGGTGCTTTTGTTGGGAGATAAAAAAAAGAAAAATTATTTCAGGAAGGACTCGATACTTTGTTTCAGATGACAGCAGGATTATAAGCATTTCTCATTTAAAAACTTGGAAACTGCCGAAGCCGGTTTGACTCAGTGGTAGAGTATCGGTCTGCGGACTGAAAGGTCCCGGTTTCGATTCCAGTCAAGGGCATGTACCTTGGTTGCGGGCACATCCCCAGTAGGGGGTGTGCAAGAGGCAGCTGGTCGATGTTTCTCATCGACATTTCTAGCTCTCTATCTCTCTCCCTTCCTCTCTGTAAAAAAATCTATAAAATATATTAAAAAATAAATAAATAAAAACTTGGAAACTTAAAGAGGCTCGTAATTAGGACAAAATTATCGTCAGATTGTAGTCGAGGACCCAGGGACAGAGCCTCTGTTGTAGACTCTGAAGGAACCCAGAGTCACTTTCTTTTACTCCCAGGCCAGACACTCCAGGCTGGCACCTGAGGTTCAGATGTGATCCACCTTCCTCAGCCTCCCCTCCCCCTGGCTTCCCCAACGTGGACTTCCTCCCTAAATAGGCAGAATTCATGGTTTTCACCCCAGTGGTCTCTTAGGATTTTGCTCCTGTGTTCTCATCACAGAATTTCTTCTTTCTGCTCACTCAGCTCTCTATGCCCTTCCCCAACACCAAACTCCTGCCATATCCTTTATAATAAAAGCCTAATATGCAAATAGCAAAATGACTGGTTGCTATGACATGCACTGACCACCAGGGGGCAGATGCTCACCACAGGAGTTTCCCCCAGACCGCAGACCTCAGGCCAGCCAAGACAGGTGCCAACAGGGCCTCACCCCCTACCCCTCCCCCCACCACACACACACACATTCCCCCACTGGTCACCTCCTATAATGAGAGGTGATTGGGGGCACAGTGATCGAGGGCGGGGCCAGCAGGCAGGCAGTGCCAGGCTGACCAAGGTAGGTGCCAGCAGGGGGGACCTGATCACCCCACCGGTTGCCCCACAGATCAGCCCTGATTGCTGGCCAGGCCTAGGGACCCTCCCCATGCACTAATTTCATACACCGGGCCTCTAGTTAATATATTATCCTTCTCTAAGCTGTAATTTGGTATCCATATTCTCGTATGTAGCAGTTATTCAGTCCTCTCTCTCCCATGGGCCTGTGAATCGCCGGTTTTTCTGATCCCAGTGCCATGGCATGCTGGAGCACGTTTTCTCTCTTTTTATCTTTTAACGTTTATCTTCACCTGAGGATATTTTCCCCATTGACTTTCAGAGAGGGGGAGAGACAGAGAGAAACACCGATGTGGGAGACATACATCGACTGGTAGCCTCCCTGCACGCACCCTGACCAGGAGCCTGCACCCTAGGCATGTGCCCTTGACTGGAATCAAACCCGGGACCTTTCGGACCTCAGGCCCACGTTCTGTCCACTGCGCCACACCGGCCAGGCCTGGAGCAGGTTTCTCAGCCCTCCTCTCCTCACTGTCGTCCTGGCCTCAGGACAGCGAGGCGCCCGGCCCCCGGCCCCCGGGCCGGGCCGGCACTCACGCAGTCCCCGGTGATGTCGAAGTCCCGGTAGAACTCCCGGAGGTCGTGCTTTTTGATGTTGAAGAGGAAGTCGTACTTTTGGAAGCTCTCCGCGCCGATCCTCATCTCCCCGTCCAGGTCCAGCAGCTCGAACACCGGCCGCGAGTGCCGGAAGATGAACTGCTCTTCCAGGTGGTTCTGCGGGGAGAGAGGGGCCGCCCCGGAACGGCGCTGCTGGTGCCGCTTCCCAGGCCGGCCCAGACGCCTCCCCTGCCCCCGCGCCCAGCCCCCAGGGGGCCACGGGCCGGCTCAGGGTGGAGAGGCTGCCGCGGGCAGCGCTGCCGGTCCTGCCTCGGCGTCTGTCCTCAGGGGAACGGAGCCGCCTGTCCTGATCATCCCGCTGGACAGACCCCTGGCCGCCAGGACACCTATCCTCACGGCGACCGAAAACAAGGGAGGCACAGGGCCCTTTCCACACGGGGCCAGAGGGAAACACACGGCAGAAGTGGATGCACGGCCGGGACCGGTTTGGCTCAGTGGATAGAGCCTCGGCCTGTGGACTGAAAGGTCCCGGGTTCGATTCTGGTCAAGGGCATGTGCCTTGGTTGCGGGCACGTCCCCGGTGGGGGGTGTGCAGGAGGCGGCTGGTCAATGTTTCTCTCTCATCAATGTTTCTAACTCTCTGTCCCTCTCAATTCCTCTCTGTGTAAAATAAAAAAATAAAAAATAAAATAAAATAAAAGAAGTGGGTGCAGGGCCGGTGGGAACCCATGTCCGTCACCCCTCCCGCCAGGAGAGCCTCGGAGACGGGGGAGGTGGCTGGGGGAGAGGCTGGGTGATGCTGGGAAGGTCTAGGTTACGGATGGGCCACGCGGGAGCCAGGAGTGGTTCTTGCCCACATTGTCTGCCTTCCCAGTTTGCGGGAAAGGGAAGAAGATGCTGGGTGCGCTCTGAATTCGGGGCCTCGTTTAGCGAGAGGCTGGAGCTGCCCCGGGGCCCGCCGACACTCACCTCGTGCGCCAGCACGATGCACACCAGCATGTAGAACTGGTCAAAGCCGATCTCGCCCACAGCCTCCCAGTCCAGCATGTTGAACACATTCATGATCTGTCTCCTGGTCCAGTTAGTCACGTGATGAAGGAAGTGGTAGAACAGCACATCTGTGGGGGGATAGTTGCAGGGGGGGGGGGGGGAAGGGCGGAGACAAGGAGATGGATTATTCAGAAACCGCCCCAAAGGCTAACGCACTGGGAGCCGCCTGGATGGTACTGATGTTGGAAGCCAGTGACCTGGGAAAAGCAACTATTTTTTTTTTTCAAAATGTTTTCTTATAAACATATATATATATTTTTTTTATTGATTTCAGAGAGGGATGGAGAGGGAGAGAGAGATGGAAACATCAGTGATGAGAGAAAATCACTGATTGGCTGCCTCCTGCACGCCCCCCAGTTGGGATCGAGCCCACAACCCAGGCAAGTGCCCTTGACTGAAATCGAACCCAGGACCCTTCAGTCTGCAGGCGGATGCTCTATCCACTGAGCCAAACCAGCTACGGCTCAAAATCTTTTTTTTTTTTTTTTAAATCATTTATTGATTTCAGAGAGGAAGAGAAAGAAACATCAATGATGTGAGAGAATCATTCACCGGCTGCCTCTTGCACGCCCCACACTGGGGATCAAGCCCGCAACCTGGGCACGTGCCCTGACCAGGAATTGAACTGTGACTTCCTGGCTTCAGAGGTCAACACTCAACCACTGAGACACGCCGGCAGGGCTAGCAATGATACTATTTTGTTTCTGGCTTTGCCACTGCACCTCCCACGATTCCTTAAACCTTAATTGCCCTGAGTCTGAGAAAAGGCTGCATTCGGAGGCTGGAGAGCGAGGGCGGAGAGGACGTGCTTCCTGACCCCGCTCCCGCACTCCACGTGCGGACAGGCGTGTGGAGTAACCAGGCACACGCTCCCCGTACATGGAGGGAAGAGCTGATTCTCACTGGGGACCTCGGACACGTCCTTCGAGAAGCTGACATTTCACCTGGCCCTTTCACTCGTGGAGACAATTAAAACAAGAGAAATTAAAAAAAAATCATTCCTCTTTATATATTATTGATTTTATTGATTTTTTTTAAAAAAGAGGAAGAGAGAGGGATAGAGAGTTAGAAACATCGATGAGAGAGAATCAGCTGCCTCTTGCACACTCCCTACTGGGGATGTGCCCGCAACCCAGGTACATGCCCTTGAACGGAATCGAACCTGGGACCCTTCAGTCTGCAGACCGACGCTCTATCCACTGAGCCAGACCGGTTTCGGCACTCATTCCTCTTTTGTGCTGAGCCAGCACTGGCCAAAGGTGAGCCTGAGAGGGGCGGTGAAGGATCGAGGTCAGACAGACAAGAGAATGAAAGCTGGGTCCCGGTGGGACGCTGCCGCTCTGATGGAGAGACGGTGACAGCGTGTCCTTATTTCACAGCCAGATTCCACGATGGGGACAAAGGGAGGGCGTGGCCAAGATGTTTACAACATTCTCGTGGGGTTCAATCCTGCTCAACGACATGCCCCTGATCTCTATCAAGCCCACATCACTCAGGCACGTGGGGCCACGTGTTCGGACCGTAGGCCCAAGCTGACAACCATAACCTTTGGCTGTCACTGTGCTGGGAGGCCCTGCCCTCCACGCTGGGACTTGCACGTGGCTTTGCCACGAGAGGACTGTGCCCTCTCATCAGTCCGAGGCTTGAACCTGCCCAAACACTGTGGCCGCTCTGCACGCTTCTACAAAAACATCGCTATGCCTTTTGCTCCCATGGAAGCGAGTGCATTTGGCCACGAGGGGAGGGCTCAGCGCGAAGGCCCCCCCTCCCGGAAGGCACCCCCTGCGGGGACAGTGGCGTCACTGCTCCCACAGGCGCCTCGGAGAGGAGCTGTCCCTTCCAGCGCTGCGGTAACGCCTCCGTCTTGTGAAGCACAGACTCTGACGGGGAAACGGGCGCGGGATGGCCTGCCTTTGTGGCCAGCTCCGGGTGATGCTCGGCTGCTGACCACCGCGCTGCGATCCCTGACGCCACAGCCTCGCCGGTTCCAGGGTGGAGCCGGCGCCTTGGTACACGAGTGAAGGGTATTCGGTCCTACAATCAGAGACGACCATCCTGTAATTTGAAGAACAGGGAAGGCTTGTGCTGAAATCCCGCTCACTAATCATCCGTCTCGGCCTCGAAGATGAAAGGGGCGAGCCTGGGGACGCGTTTATCCGGCGCGGGGTGGCTCTGCCGATCTGGACACGCACCGCCCCGGGCCGGAGGGAGTCACGGGTCGCGCTGTCTATGTGCGATTTCCCCGAGCCCGCTGGCCAGAGGCTTCCTCCGGCAGAAGACGGGCTTCACGGCACCTCCACTCTGGAGTCCCAGTGCAAGCTCGCTACGGGCTCAGGGACCCAGCCACACGTCCTGGTTCGGGGGCTTCTGATGGTCTCATGATGAGCATGTGGGAACAGACTATATATATATATATATATATATATATATATATATATATTCCTATATAATAAAAGGCTAATATGAAAATAGAACGAATGGTAGAACAAACGAACAACCGCTTGCTATGACGTGTGCTGACCACCAGGGGGCATGTGTGGAACATGGCAGGCATTGGCCATGATGGGGTGATGGAGCAGGTGAGTGGGGGCACCAGACCAAGGCAGGGTGCCAGTCATTGTCATCAGGCCGAGCCTCTGGTGGTTACTGACAATTCTCTGCTCCCATGTGCCTCAGTCCTGCCCTGTGCTCACACCTGCTGCCAGCATCTGCTGCCGGCCCAAATCACTCAGTGCCATCAGCAGGTGAGCGGCGACTGCCAGCCCCTGAGGGCTTCTCCACCTCCCCTGCTCCTGAGGGGCAATCGGGGCAGCAGCTGCCACTCACACCAGCCCAAATTGCTCCTCGCCATCAGTGGGTGGGAGGGGCAGCAGCAGGAGCAGGGCAACCAGCAGACAGGGGATCAGGGGCCATGGTGGGAGGGTCTGTGCAAAGGAACGGCCCATAGGTCCTTTCAAGGAGCACAAATTTATGCACTGGGCCCCTAGTACATATACTGTATATATCTCCAGTGATGTTTGTGCAGTTGCTCCTTGAGAGATGTTTTGGTATGGATTTAGTAGCTACTTAACATATACCGTTTTTCATTCTTTTTAAAAAAATATATTTTTACTGATTTCAAAGAGAAAGGGAGAGAGAGAGAAAGAGAGAGAAACATCATTGATGAGAGAGAATCATTGATCAGCTGCCTATTACACACCCCTACCAGGGACTGAGCCCACAACCTGGGCATGTGCCCTGACTGGAAATTTAATTGGTTCATGGGTTGATGCTCAACCACTGAGTCACACTGACAGGGCAACAAATGCTGTTTTTACCGCAGCGGGCCCTGGCCCCCTCGAGTCTCCGGGGCCTTAGGCACACACCGGCCTGGGAGGCAGTATCAGGGCTGGGTCGCACACTTTCCGGTAAACTATCCAGTCCCCTGTGACCAGAAGACACGGCCTGCCCGGCAGGTATTGCATCATGAGGGAGGAGGGAGTTGCCGGGAGACCAGACTCAGCAGGCATTCCCGTGAGACTAAGAGTGGGCTTTGGAATCAGAACGCCTGGGTTTCAGCGCCGGGTTTTCTGTTTACCGCTCGGGGCCCTGCAGCTGCGTCATCGCGGACTGGGTTCTTGGGGAGAGTTGGTGACTTACCCCGTGAAAATCCATGCGTAACGAGAGGCACGGAGGCAGGAAATGACGAGGAGATGAAGGTGTCCTTTAATTATATTTTAAAGATCGAACGAACTCTTAAAAATCTTTATGGAAGAAACCCTTTACTCACAAATGACCTTAGTCTCTCTCAGGTCACAGTGAATGGATAGGAAACCTTACTTATACTCAGTCCTCTAAAAACCCCTGCAGTCTTGTAACTGATGTTCTGTTAGTTTGCGCGCTCACAGGCCCGGTGAGGATTACCAGTACTTGTTGGTCACTCACAATTACCAAGAATTAGAAGGGACCCTGCGTACCATTTATTTGACCCAAACATCCCATTTGACAGACGAGAAGTCTTGCTGAGGGGGGCTTGACCCCCAGGAATCGTTACAATGACAGTGACCTTGAGTCCTCCCCAGGTGCTGTGCATTTTCCGTACTTTCACCTGTTTAATTGTCCTCTCCCCCAACCACGACACAGGCTCCATCATTAGACTCCTTTTACAGACGAGAAAAGTGAGACCTACACAGGGTGCTGAGCCCAGCTGCTGCGGGTTGAGCGTTGACCTATGTATGAACCAGGAGGTCCTGGTTCCATCCCCGGTCAGGGCGCATGCCTGGATGGCAGGCTCGATCCCCGGTAGGGGATGTGCAGGAGGCAGCTGATGGATGATTCTCTCTCATCATTGATGTTTTGTTTTTTTTTCTTCTCTCTCTCTCCCTCTCCCTTCCTCTCTGAAATGGAAGAAAAAATAAATAACAAAGAGGGTGACAACACTCTCCAGATCTCCAAGGAGTGAGGGGCGGAGCCAGGATTTGAACCCAGAGCCTGCAGTGGTGTCCTCCTCACTGAGCTGCCACCAGGCTTCAGTGTAAGCTGGTGACTAGACACCAGGTCCTGACCCAGGAGCCGGCTGTGAGGGCACTGACCGTTGAGGGTGCGGCTGCGGTGCGCGTCCAGCAGGCGGAAGTACTCCACCAGGGCCCTGACGTTCCTCACGGACAGCAGGCAGTACAGCTTGTCCAGGTAGAGGCACCACAGGAAGGACCCCGTCCTCAGCTTCATGGAGGAGCTCCTCATGCCCATGGCGCCAACCGGGAGGGGGCAGAGAATGCGGCCTCGGAACTAGAATGTTGGCCCCCGAGAAACTCTGCTGGGAGAGGTCTTCCTGGGCCAAACAGAGTCGGAAACAGTCTCACCAGTCTCACCAGAGCGTCGTCAACCTATGAGCCTGGAGGTCACGGTTCGATTCCCGGCCAGGACACGTGCCTGGGCTGCGGGCTCGATCCCCAGTGAGGGGCGTGCAGGAGGCAGCCAATCGATGATTCACTCCCTCTCCTTCCTCTCTGAAATGAATAAAAATATATAGAATATTTAATGTCAATTGTAACGGGAAGAAAATACTTATGGTCCCGGCTGGTTTGGTTCAAGTATCGAGCATCGGCCTGCGGACTGAAGGATCCCAGGTTCGATTCTGGTCAAGGGCACATGCCATGGTTGCTGGCTAGAACCCCAGTAGGGAGTCTGCAGGAGGCAGCTGAATAGTGATTTTCTCTCATCATTGATGTTTCTATCTCTCTCTCCCTCTCTCTTCCTCTCTGAAATCAATAAAAATGTATTTAAAAGAGAAAGATAAATTGTGATGGCTTCCTCCCAGTTTTCCAGCCTTGTCCTCACCTCCTGTTAACCTGATTACCCATCCTTCTCTAAAACATGACCAGTTCTAAAAAAAAAATAAAAATAAAAATAAATAAAATAGAATAAAACATGACCAGTTCTAGCCCTAACTGGTTTGGCTTAGTGGATAGAGCGTCAGCCTGTGGACTGAAGGGTCCCAGGTTCAATTCCGGTCAAGGGTATGCACCTTGGTTGCGGGCACATCCCCAGGAGGGGGCGTGCAGGAGGCAGCTGATAGATGTTTCTCATAGGTGTTTCTAACTCTCTATCTCTCTCTCTCACACACTGTAAAAAATCAATAAGATATATTTAAAAAATAAAAAATAAAACATGACCAGTTCTAAACGGAAACCACACACTGGAGATGACCGAGAGACTGCACACATATGAAAACATGTTACATGGCTAGGGTGATTCTCAGCAGAATATTTATAGCCTAAATGAGTCCATTAGAAAACAAGGGGTGAAAAATGCACGTAATTCTAAAAGAACCTAGAAAAGAAAGTAAAATAAAACCAGAGAGAGCAGGAAGTGTTTACAGACCAAAACACACCTAAGGGAACCAGGAGACAAAGCAGCAAACTTGATTAGTATAATGGGGATCTTTCTTCATGTTCTTTCTTTCTTTCTTTATTTATTTTTATTTTCTTCATGTTCTTTATAACAAAAAGTGCCACGCCGGTCCCACAGCGGGTTAGTGTGATAAACCTGAATGTGACGGCAGCTTCAGCAACCGTCAACGCAGGCCCATCCTGTTCCATCTGTACTCCACCCCCCACTGCCACCGTCTCTGGGTTATTTGGAAGCAAATCTCAGCTATGACTTCTCATCTGTAAAAATCTGATTATTTCAAAAAGAGTGACTTTTAAAAAAGTATAACCACATACTTTTATACCTAAAAAAAAACAATGACCATTTCTTTATATATATATATATATATATATACATACATATATTATTGATTTTGTACAGAGAGGAAGGGAGAGAGAGAGTTAGAAACATGGATGAGAGAGAGTCATTGATCAGCTGCCTCTTGCACACCCCTTACTGGGGATATGCCCGCAACCAAGGTACATGCTCTTAACCTGAATCAAACCCGGGTCCCTTCAGTCCCCAAGCCGGTGCTCTATTCATTGAGCCAAACTGGTCTCGGCATTTCTTAATGTTATCAGATATTCAGTCAGCATGCAAACGTCCCTGTTTGTTAAAATGTTAACATTTGTTTTTAATATATGATTGACATCTCATATTAGATTCAGGTGCAGAACAGAGACTAGGCATTTATATACCTTTAAAAGATGTTTTTATTGTTTAAAGTATGACATATGTCTCCTTTTTCTCTGATGGACCCCCCCCACACACACATTTTTAAATTTTTAACAGATGAATTATTCAAGCCAGGACTCCAAACAGGTCTATCATACATGTTACATTTAGACCGCTTCATCTTCATAAGTATCGTGAAGTCCCCCTTTCTATCCTTCTTACTCTTCCTGCAATTTACTTGTTGAATCCAGATTGTCATGTGGAAAAAAACACTCAGATTTTTGCAGGTTTTCTTTCCAATGTGTTAACATGTCGTCCTGTCTCCCCTACTTTCTATAAACTAGTAGTTAAAAAGCTAGTTTTAGGAAAAAATCAATAAGAACAATTTTTTTGGCAAGTATGACAAGGAGAAAAAAGATTTAAAAAAAAAAAAATAAGAATGAAGCCTTAGCCTGTTTTGCTCAATGGATAGAGCATCAGCTTGCTTTGGTCCCGGGTTTGATTCCGGTCAAGAACACACACCTCGCTCGGTTGCAGACTCCTCCTTGGCCCCAGGCCCTTGATCCGGGCTCACGAAGGAGGCAACCGATTGATGTGTTTTTCTCATGTAGATATTTCTCCGTGTCTTCCCCTCTCTCTTCTACTCTTCCTAAAAATCGAAAAATATCTTCGGGCGAGGATTAACAAAAACAAACAACAAAAAAGTAATGAGACAGGAAGCTGTTGATAAGGAAGAGATTAAAAAATATAGAAGAATACTATGTACAACTCTATACCAATACTTGGAAAATCTAAATTAGCTCTATCCTATAAATGTGTAACACAAGCTGCAAATACATCACGTATGTAGTTTTAAATTTTCTGGTGTATACATTTAAAACACGAAACTAGTTTTGATAATTTTATTTAATCCAATGTATCCAAAATATTTCTATTTGTAATCAATATATTTTAAAATTCTCTTGCAATCCTTTTCCCCTCCAGCTTTATTGGGGTATGATTGACAGATAACATTGTATAACTTTAAGGTGCACAATGGGGTCATTTTGTGAAGTGCTTGCCACAGTAAGGTTATGAACTGGTGAGAACTTTCCAGATCTATTCTTTTAGTGTCTCTCGTGTGTACAATACAGTATTGTTAAGTGTAGTCACCATGCTGTGTACATTAGGTGCTCAGAACTTACTCATCTTATAACTGGAAGTTGTACCTTTGACCACCTTCACCATTTCCCCAATCCTGGAAAGCAGTCTACTCTCTGAGCTCAGGTTTTTGTTTTTTTTTTAAGATTCCAGATATAAGTGAATCATACAACCCATTTTATAGTAACTCTGAAACCCAGTGTGTATTTTATACTTACAGCACATCTCTATGCATTTGGGCTAGCTATTATACATATTGGGTGCTTTATTTTTTTTTAATTTTTAGTTTTTGTTAATCCTCGCCCAAGGATATTTTTCCATTGATGTTTTCCAGAGAGTGGAAGGAGGGGGAGAGACAGAGAGAAATGTGAATATTGATTGGTAGTCTCCTGCCAGGGATGGAGCCTGAAACCGAGGTAGGAGGTAGGTGCCCTTAATCGGAATCAAACCCGGGACCCTTGCCTGCTGGCCCTCGCTCTATCCACTGAACCAAACTGGCTAGGGCCATTTTGAATGCTTAATAGCCACACCTGGCTAGTGGTTACCATATTGGACAGCACAGACTTAGATAAATAGAATAATAATTTTATGAAAATTGACATATGAAGGAATTAAAAATGTATGAATCAATCAATAACTATAACCAATAACCAGAAAGTAATCAATGATGAAGCGCTAAGAAAAGATATCTGGCTCAGGTGGTTTTTTGAGAAAAACCATTAAGGAACAAATCACTTCTAGGATCTATAAATGATTTCAAAGCAGTTCTAGTTAGTAATACCGTAGGCAGTGTTACATGGATAAACTCCCTTACAACGGACGCATTCAGGGATAGTCATTGCAGCTCTGAAGAGTTGACGAGGGGTTAGGCAGGAACCTGGAGGGATAACTGGTTTGCACTGAAGGTTGGGGGACAAGAGAACGCCTGTGAGGGGAGTGGTTACCAGAGGGGAGCGGGGGAGGGGGCAGGTAGGAGAGGGGGAGGTAGGAGAGGGTGGGGGGAGGGGGAATAAACGGTGAGGGAAGGAGACCTGATGGGGGGTGGTAAACTCACAGTACTATACAGATGGCGTCTGATAGAACTGTGTAACCGAATCACATAATTTTATTAGCCAGTGTCACCCCACTAAATTCAATAGAGGCTAAAAAAAAAAAAAAAAAAGATTTGAGAACTTTTCCAAACTCACGTTCAAAGTACACATTTTTATTCACATGAACAAGGTATGAGCATGACACTGAGCATTATCATTAAAAAAGAGAGAGGCCCTCAATGGTGTGGCTCAGGGGAATAGAGCCTCGTCCTGAGCACTTGAAGGGTCCCAGGTTCAATTCCAGTCAAGGGCACATTTGCGGGCTCGATCCCCAGCAGGGGGCGTGCAGGAGGCAGCAGATCAGTGTTTCTCATCATTGGTATTTCTCTCTCTCCCTCTCCTTTCCTCTCTGAAATCAATAAAATATATTTAAAAAGAGAAAGAGAAAAAAGAAAAAAAGAAAATAGCCCAGTAAAAGCGGGGAGCGTAACAGAAAGCTCCCCATGGGAGGAGCTGCGCACAGGACACTTCATTGAAATCGGGAAATTTAGACCCGGACGCTTTTAACTTAATTTGCAAACACATCTGGAGGTCCGTCCGGAGGCCTGCGAGGAGTCCCGGGGGCTCTGTCTCCCGGGCTCCGACGCCGCCGGCCCCGCGAGCGCCTGGGAAGCAGGAAGGGTCCGGGCCGCCGGCCCCCGGGCTCCCCCCCGGCCGCCGGGGCGCAGCGCTGCGCGCGGCGGGAGGCAGCCCGGCGCCGGGAGCCCGGCCGGACCCGCCGGCGGAGGTGCGGCCCGGGCCGGTGATTAACTCGAACTGATTAATTCTGGGCATGTTTGCAGCTCAGCCTGGAGGGCGAGTTGGGGTTCAACCATCGGTGCGCGCGCACGGAAAGCCAGCTCGCTCCCCGCCTCGTTCCAAAGTGCGGGGAGCCCCGCGGCGCGGCTGGCC